AACGAGAACAAGACTCGGTGACCAAAGGCCAGTAAGCTAGCCATTTATGCGTCTCAGCCCCGCTAACTAGAGGGAGTTCATGCTTGAAATATGGAATTATATTCTGCAAAAAGCCAGAAACGAGCGATAACAACAAACGCAATTCAAAACGTATATATATACAGTACAAAACCATCCTTGGGGATAGTTACAAATAGCATATCAAAAGACGAAACGGGCCAGTAGAATTTAAGATATTTCCCAGTGGGAAATACGACATGAAGGTGACAAGTGTCTTTGGCGCGAAAACGAAGAAATCCAAATTTTCTTATTGAAATTACAAAATTAGGTCCTGTCCCAATTGAGTTCTGGGGATCTAACGTCTCCAACAGTCCGATACCTTGACGATATATCGCAGTTCACAAGAGATATCCGACATGTCAAAGGTAGGGACAATCAGGCGGCAGATGCTTTATCTAGACTAGAATTGAACATGCTAAAGCAGTCTACAGTAAACTTCGAGACTTTGAGACGCGAACAAGCGCAGGATCTAGGATTACAAAACCTACCTAAAACAGACCAACAAACCAACAAACGCAGGTCAAGGCAAACAGTTTAGCGGAAGCCCCTATTCTATAGCAGTAGGCCTCAACGTACATAAGGGAAAAAGCAAGATCCTCAAATACAACGTGGAGAACACCAACCCAATCAAACTTGATGGAGAAACTCTGGAAGATGTGGAATCTTTCACATACTTAGGAAGCATAATCGATGTGCAAGAAGGATCTGATGCAGACGTACAGGCGAGGATTGGCAAAAGAAGGATAACATTTCTACAATTGAAGAACATATTGGACGCAAAACAACTAAGTAAATGTCAAAATGAGGATCTTCAATACGAACATCAAGATAATTCTACTGTACGGATCTGAAACTTGGAGAACTACCACAACCATCAAGGTGAAAGTATTTATCAACAGTTGTCTACGCAAGATGTCCGTTGGCCAGAAACCACCAGCAACAGTCTGCTGTATGAGAGAACAAACTAACTTCCCGCTGATGAGGAAATTAAGAAAACACTTTGGAAGTGGATGGGACATATATTGCAGAAACTACCAAACGGCATCACGATTCAAGCGTTTACCTAGTATCATAAAGGGATACGGAAGTGAGGAAGACGGGAGAACACACTACGTTGAGAATTGAAAGCAGACATGAAAAGGATGGATAGCAACTGGAAAGAATTTTCTAGGACAGTTGGATGGATAATGCTGGTGGAACCCCGAAACGACTGAATAGTCGATGTAGTTTTCTAACTGTTCAGTCTGCAGTTCGATGTTCCATGAGAAAAATTTCTGCCCACCTGCTATATGTGTCAACAACCAGAAGGTAAATTTGTCCATGACGTGGATCAGCAAAGTCCATATGCATACACTGCCACGGTTACTGATATTGAACATGATTACAGTTGTTTCCCGTTGTACTTTCGTTGGTAGCCCCCATTTATTATATGAACGGGATAGCTGCTCCAGTTGTATGTTTACGTACGACCAGTATACACACTTCATGCTGTCACTTTAATGCGACTTATTCCAGGATGTCCTGCATAGGATAAATGGAACACTACGTAGACGTAGCTTTTTTGGGATTATGACAGATTCGGCTAGTGAAAGGCTGTAATCGATAATTTGAAGAAATAGTCTGCTCTTGTATGGCATTTTTGAATATCCAATGCAATATGAAAGATTAAATTTACTGAACTGTTTGTCAAGAATATATATATTCTTGACGAAAAGTGAATGTTATACGCAGAACATGAAGGCTTGAAAGTTTTAATTTCAAATTAACAACGAATCATGTTTTCTTACTTAATGATATGGTGATAAGTGTTTTTACATATATCTGTATGTATACATAAATGTATGCATCCATGCATACATACATTCATGCTCACAACGAACTGTCAACATGGTTTATGCCAACATGAAAAAGCACTGCACATACGGTTACATGTTCTGGTAGAAACGAGATGAATCTCCAACACGGAAGGCGCCACAGTCGATACAACTTAATTTGTGGACGCAGTTCTGTGTAGATATGAAAGGAATTTTTTCTTTTTAGCGAACTAAAGTATTTCGAAATGTGTTTGTTAATTTGTAATATACGTTAATTCTGTGTTGTTTTAAGATTCTCTGTTGTACCATGAAGGTATGGTAAAACTGCAGTACCAATCCATGACTTTTTATTCGAATCATTATTATTACGGATTGAACCATCCTGTTTTAACATACTTCTGATAATCTCCAGAGGAAAATTATTAGATTGTAAGGTACTGATTGCATTCTTTCGTTCTTTTTGTTTGCCAAAAAGAATGAGTAATAATAAATACTCATTGGAATATTACGAATATATTATTTATTTATTTATAACAATCTACCCAATGCTCGATTTTCAATACAAATGTCAAGACAGTTCTACTGTATGGGGCAGAAACCTGGAAAACTACAAAAGCCATCATCCAGAAAATACAGGTGTTTATTAACAACTGTCTACGCAAAATACTTCAGATCCATTGGCCGGACACTATTAGCAACAACGTACTGTGGGAGAGAACAAACCAGATCCCAGTGGAGGAAGAAATAAGGAAGAAGCGCTATAAATGGATAGGACGCACATTGAGGAAAGCACCCAACTGCGTCACAAGACAAGCCCTCACATGGAATCCTGAAGGTCAAAGGAAAAGTGGAAGACCAAAGAACACATTACGCCGAGAAATGGAGATAGACATGAGAAAAATGAAAAAGAATTGGATGGAACTAGAAAAGAAGGCGGAGGACAGAGTGGGTTGTGGAATGCTGGTCAGCGGCCTATGCTCCATTGGGAGTAACAGGCGTAAGTAAGTAAGTAAGTACCCAATGCTCAATTTATTCAAAATTATTAAATCAAACCTTGGTATTGACACCTATTGACGTAGTAAGTTTTAAAGCGCTTGTAGGTATGTGAGAAACCGAAATAATATGAAAGAGTAAAACGCCATATAGGAAACTAAGTATCCTGCGGTGGGAGCAAATAAGTTCCTTAAATCAATTGTTTTGCAGACGCTCAAGACTGATTTCGCTCCCCATGATTTCAAGAATTATAGTGATTGAAGAATCTTGGTTAATCATTATCATGTAGTCACAGCACGGAACGGCGTAAAAAATATTACCCCTTTACGTTCTCAGTCTGGAAGTTTACCTTTCCACACTTCTACACACTAGCGATTATATAAATCTCTCAATAATGGTGAGTTTCTACCTCGGGTTATCGGTTGTATGTTAAGTTGAAAGTGATATTGTCTAATTCCATTTTACCTATCATATCTTTACCACTAAAAGAAGAAAATGAAAATGCTAATGATTATCTATCCGAATCCTCGGTGTTAAGTGATATCTTTGATGTTGAGATATAAACCTCATTCTGATTGTATTAATTTGAATTTAGGCGACTGATAAAGACGTATTTTTCTGCATTCTTAAGACAGTTGACCGAAATCTCAATCAAAAGTCAAAATTCTGTAATTCGTTTCACAGTTGATGTAAGAAATCTGGATCTTGTGGTCATTTACTTTGTTTGATGGCATAGATGTCTAACGGAGGGAAGCTTCTTGACGTAAAAATACGTTGTATCCTGTAGATTGATCAAATCGATTGTTCCTTACTTTTATCGCATGCAGAAAGTGTAGGATTCAACTTGTCCTGTAGATATAATACTAGGACCGTAAACGCAATACTGGCGAACCCAGAGTCTATGTGAAAGCCATAATCAGAACAAGGATAACTTGGCTTCAAACTCTATCTGTTTCTAGATGTAAAAACAAGTAAATTATTGCAATAATTAAAGGAATAAAAGTCGCTAATTGAAACACACAAACATACTGACCAGTATTGCATGTCTTACGAAATGAATAAAAATTATGAGTCAAACTAATACAATAGGATAATGATGTCTTTCAATTGGCAGGCCACATGCAACAGGGATACTTTACAGACACACCAGACTAGATCAACGTGGTGGGTGCTTGAACAACGATTTGATTTGTTAGTTATAGACATAACTAACAGGAGGTTCTGTAATACTTTGGACACACAACGAACTATGGCACGCCAAAAGTGAAGTAAGGCCGGAGATCTATCCTCCATCTCGATAAAATTTGAGGTGTAGAACTTTCATGCTGGCAGTTACCCTTGTTTTTCATGTCGGAAAGGCCTGACTAATGGCCGTAGTAGATGTTCACTCAAATCGTGGGACTTAAACAAACACACTTTTCAACATTCAATACGAGATAACAGGAAATGTAATGTTTGCTCAAAATAAGGAAGTAACCAAATATTTCGGTACCACCAAAAGGTCTTCAACTAACTCTCCACTACTTGACTTATGCTGTTACATCAGACTCATCTTCCGTGAGAATATCCCTTGAGTCAATTTAGTAAATAAAGTTACATCAGTCCGTTAGCAGCACTCTTGTGAAGAACCTTCATTTAGTGATTCATATTACTAGTTACATTGAAGATGGCACAGGTATCTGGGGTTTGACAGTTATTCAACCAGTAACACCTAATATAAATCGTACTCACCAAGTGAGATCAAAAGACAGATAGAGGATGTTCGAAGATATATTTGATAGGCTATCAATATATCGTGGATCGACTGCTTTAATCTGGCTAGCGATTGCAGGGGATGTTGAGCACAGCGTTCTCACTCGTGATCTGGTGCGGATGCATGACCGAGCGCCTTCAGCTAGGCGAGTCCATTAAAACTAGTGTGGTCGGCATCCAATGTGGAAGATTTACAGAGCTATTTATTTTGGGGATTTATTTACCACTACAACATATTTGATTGACTAGGTCATCCAAATGTTAATGGTAGTGCCATGCCTTTGTGTCACAGGGCAGTACCTAAAAACGGAAATTAAGTTCGGAAAGCTGATATTTAGTCCTTCTTGCTTGTCCTGACTTGTTTTATGGTTGTTGCTTATTGAAAAGTACTGGCGGTATTTATGGTTTTATGCGGTGTGGTTGTGACCTTTCTTTAGATGGTGGTCCTGATGAGATTCTGTGACTAGTTGCTGGATATAACTTGTCTAGCTTGTATCCTGCTTCTGTAGGAAATCTCAAACTAAAAATAAATAATTTTCGTATGAGTGTAGGCATGGCCATGCAAATTGTTCAAGGTTTTGTGTGCTGTCTAGTTTGCCTTATTAAAATTCTTGGTAGTGGTTAGTGAGGTATAAGTATCTTTCCTGATGCTCTTTAGGCCCACTTCCCGTCATTTTTTCATTATTCTAAGGTAAGAGTCACCTCTAAGTGTCGGTTCCACAACTTATTGATAAGCCTCCAAGAATTTGTGATATAACTCATTTTCCATCTTTTTGAAGCCGAAATCAATGACAGTTTATGTAGGCTTTAGACACTCATCGGAAATGTGGCTGAAAATATCGACTACCGAAGGTGTGACTGAGAATGCTGAAGACGTTTGACTGCTGTCATATCCTACTGTTTGGTATAAGTTTCATCCCATGCATGTTTTTTCTTAGTATCCTAATGGCGACCTCAATATTCATGTTGCGTGGATATTTATGTTCAGATTACATGACAGTCACCCTGGTGCGTACTAATGATGGCCACCAATAAAATGCTAGGGTCGCCCACATTAATTTATATTTTGAACCATTTTTATTCCTAATGTAGAATTTTGCATGTTGTTAATAAGTGATTTTTAATCGATATCCGGCTTTCAAATAACTGTTTTTAGGCTATTATTGATATAAGTTACCGAATCCTCTTTTAGTCTTAAACTGAACAATCTGGAACATTTCGTACAGCAATTCAAGTTGTTGGAAATGTATTCTTCAATTCTTTCGAATAACACAAACGTTTAAGACGAAATGAAGTTGGTTGGAAGTGCATTGTACATTGTTGACTGACATGACTTATTGTTATTTGGTGCGTTAACCACAATGTAGGAATTTAACTACCAGTTATATATATTTTCTCCTGTGTGACAAGTTCTTTTAACTGTGTGTGACTCCAATTACTTTACGTTTTCATTAAAACTTTGTACAAAATCGTTCAGTGTATTTTGTTACCTCGAAGCCACAGAACATTACTGTTTTGGTTGGAATAATATCTAGGGTTGTCATCACGAACTGACATCAACTATAACGCCAAAACTATTTTACCAAAAGTCCGAGCTCTGTTATCTTATACCTCGTATATGTGCTGTGCTTCGACGGAAAAATAATTGTCTCTTATATTGTTTTTATATTATTTAATTGAATGCTAAACGTTTTTTATTTAATTCAGGTGATATTCTTAGACTTCAAAGATGGCATATGAGATCTCTGTTCCTGATGCGTATAGGTATAGAACGATTTTCGATCAACTTCAGCCAACCTGTGGGAAACTCTCTGGGGAAAAAATTAGAGAGGTTTGTGGAATTTTGTTTGCCGACTGCCATTAGTTTAGATTAATGTGATTCTGTTGAGCAACATTTTTTAACCTAGTGAAATTGTTGCTTATTATATTGATTACAGTCCTAAGAAAGCTGGGAAACTATCATCTATTGAATTGGTTGGAACGTCTGCAGTGCTTTAAGAATAGCTATTCTGTTATTTTTGGACGTATTCCTTTTTTCTCCGAACGCTATTGACTCCATTTGTTTTCATTTATCTGCGTGAATTAATTTTTAAATTAAAGTGGCAAATACTCCGGCATATCTGGAATCACTTACAATTTCGAAGACAGGAGTTTGAACACCATTCATATACTTAAGTCTCAGTCCCTAGCTATCACACCCAGCTGTTGCGTAACGGATTTAAATCATAGTCTGGTACATGAATTAGCACTTTCTGTGGAACTACTAATTTATTCCACATTTCATCTATAATCAAGTATCAATTATCACTGATATCCTCTTAAAACATCTTGAAAATACAATGGTTTGCTCACGTCGGTCTGTACTCAAAGATTTAAAATTTCTTTCGCAGTTGCAAGAATAGCTGTTGTTATATGTAATACTTCCACAAGACATCGAACTTCTTTATTTTTAGTAATTTGCTTTCAAATGGGCATTAGTCCATCAACGATTAGGTAGTTTAGTTCAACTAGTTAATTCAGTCTCCATAGGTACATCACCTAAAAAGGAATACTAAACTTCCGTAAAAGTAGAATGTGTGTGTGGATGGCGTGCATAGTTCTTATCCTAGTGCTATAACCTTTTAACGTTTAAACAGTTTTATGATATTAAAAATCTTTTCCAAACTAAAATTACTTAATTATTTGGCTATTCTAAACAGATGTTTCCGAACTACAACTGGCTACAATCAATGAAATAACGATAGTGATTAATTGAGAACAATTGATATGTTTTTACGCTGTTTCATTTATACACCGTCAAATACACAAAAGAATAAACTTATTGAGACCCGTGACTAAAATTTTTGTCATCAATATGCTATATATAGTTCCTGATTTGACCATTCGTTTTTTCCCAGGTATTTTTAAAGTTTCAGTTGCCAGTTGAAACTCTTGGAAAAATATGGGACCTTTCAGATATTGATAATGATGGTAGTCTAGATCAGAGCGAGTTCATTGTTGTAAGTTTAAAGTGATATTCGTAACTTAGTTTTTCATGCCTATAATCGTTATACTAAATTTCAGTATAATTTTAATGCTGAGTGGTTATCTTAGGATTCTCGTCAAAATTTCACTGATTATTATTAGTTAGTGCTACTATGTCTGATATTTTTTCACGGTAGAGAAGTGTGTTATAACACTTATAGGTCTTAGTTCTCATTAAATAACCCTACTGGTTGGTTACTTATTGTCATCATTTCCATCGCCCCGGTGTGTTTTACTCGTGCCATTACTTATTTCAGTGGGTTCGTCTTCCCCAGCATAAGATTGTTTGAAAGGGTCCCGGGAACCCTTAAAACAAATGGTTTCCGCGTATGAAGTCATTGTTCTTTGGTGCAAGCCTTCTCAGAAAGCTCAGACTTCCTTATGTGTTACATAATTATATACTTTGAATTGTCCTCCAATCATTTAACTAGCATTTGCTGCAAAGTTGACCAATTTGATTCGCATCAGCTGAATTAATTTTTTTCTAGTCAGACAAATGTGTATTAAATACTTCTTAGGTTGTTGAAATAACATCTAGATAAAAGTACGTGAAATAAATCATCAACCATCCAGTCATAAACAATGTAAGAACCTGATGCAAATGAATATCGCCTCAAGTTGACGCATAAGTGACCAATCTCATTGAATGTGGACGGTAATTAACTGTATCTCATTCTCTTACCTTCATCATTTATTATTTATCAGTTTGAATCTTTAGTAATTCAGTTGTATCTCTGATATTCTACTATATTGTGTTCTAACCTTCACTCCCAGTCTGCAATTTGTATCAATGCAGTCTGCGTTATTCAAACCTCAATTCCAATTACTTAGTTTTAGTCACATAAGTCAATCGTTTGCAACGTAGAACCTTGTAAGTGTGTACATTGGTTCAAGTTCATATATCCTATCAGCACAGCGCGATAAAATTATCAGGCCAAATCCCGGAATAACATAGCTAGTAACAGTATCAGTGATAATAAAAAAAATTACTCATCGAAGATACGATTCGAGAAGAAAATCTAAGTTGGTGAATTGAAAAAGATTATGAGGCATTCCGAAGCTTAGAATCTGGGAGAAGACAAAGAATTGATGCACCTGTGTCATTACAAACGATTTTGAGCCATATCATTCTAAGTCTCTAACCACTGGTTACGAAAATCACGTGGGCTTCAACCAGGTATTTTACACCTGTTAACACACGAGTCAGTCCAATTGTCAGTGACTTCATGGAGTGATGCGGTGTTTTGGTTTGACCGCCCCTCGGATTCTTCCAGCTCACCCTTACACCAAACAACATCACCCGTCGAGGTAGGCAGTAGCTGGGTATATGTAACACATGTCCCAACCACGTCAGACGATGAGAATTCGTTACCCCATCAACCGAATCGACATCTTTAACTTGTGCTCTATGCCTAACCTAGGCATTGCTTACTTTGTGGTTCCAAAACACGAACAGTGCTTCGAAGACAAGCGTGATTGAATGCTAGTGCTATTCTTAATGAGTATACTTCACATCCATAAAGTGAAACGGAGCAAACTGGTGCACAGTAAACTCGTCCTTTGTTGGTAGATGAATATCTCTCCTACGCCACAAGTGATGCAAGTTGACAAATGCCGATCGAGATTTCTGAGTTTGTGCTGAAATTTCTTCAGATACCAGAGCACCAGGACTGATGAGGCTCCCAAGATAAGTAAAGCGGTCGGTACGTCCAACTACTTCACTCCCTAACATTAATTCAGGCGCCGACACATGGCAGTTCCAAAGCAACATTTTTAATTTGGAGGGAAAGAATCGAATTCCAAACATACTTGCCTTGTAGCTTAACGGGGTCATAAGACTCCGGAATTTGCCATTCTCTTCGCTGAATAGCAGTATATTATCTGCATATTCTAAGTCAACAAGTGAATCTCCTGGTAGAAGATAAAAGTGTTATTTCTGAAATTATTTGTTTGACAGAGTTAAATAAAGATGAGGAAAGCGGAAAACTCTGGGGAACACCGCTTGAAATAATCAATTTGGGTAACAGTTCTCCATAAGCTTGAAATATTCGTGTCAAACTACACTTGTGGTGCGGGTTACTTATATTTATATAAGTAGTATATAAGGGTGGTCAGGCATAGAATGTATTTCAGCAGAAGATCGATGAGGAAAGAACAGGAACGGAACGCAGTTGGTATGAAAACGCATGAACAATGAAATCTGAAACAATGGATTGATGTTTGCGACAAGAACGGTCAAGTTTGAGATGATGGATTGATATTTTGCAAATTAACGATTTACTATACGGTTCTCAGATTTTGTTGAGATGCTCTGTAGTTTTGTGCTCAAATACATTCCATTGTCCTCACTCGTGTTCTTATTCACTACACACTGAATATTGAAACGAGTTCGAATTTTTGTCAGGTTGTCAGGACACGGAAACCTTACTCCATACATCCTAAGTTTCTGTACACCTTTAAATCTGTACAATTGTGTTTAGGATAATACAGCTTTTTTTAATTCGATAAATATTTAGTACGATTTTGATTGTAGGCTATGCATTTGGTCCATCAATCACTGGAGGGTAAAATATTACCGGACAAATTACCAAAGAATTTAGTTCCTCCTGACAAAGAACATTATTTTTCAAACTCTACGTCTATTAATAATTCCATGTTGTGTTTACCGCCTATTACTAGTGATGCTGATTTTAATTTGGCACTAGTCCCTGTGCAGTCTACATCAGAATTAAATCCAAAACAGAGTACTGGATATTTATCAGCGCTTGTATCCGTGAGTAATAAAATATTTCAATCTTCATTATTGATCCAGCTTAATGATTTCACTTATCATAAATATTAATTGATCCTTTTTTGATTTTACTCACTTAAATTTCTCTGCTTTTACTAGCATAAGGCAAACTGGTCTTGTAGTACTCTGAAACTTCGCTTTAATAATTCCGTCCATAATATAGTACAGTGAATGCAGTTTACATTTCTACATATTATCCAGACTATTGTCTTATATAGCTGTTGTGTTCTTTTGCTGTCTAGTGTTCCCTGACCACGATGGTTCCAGTTCACTCCCCCAAATCAACACCATGTAAGAAGAGACGATGCATATTCCAACAAACCTGAACAGCAGACATACAGAATTAGAAACTTTAGACTATGTATATAATTTACGTAAGAATATACCATCGCGATTCAACCACTGGTACTAATTTGTTGGGAATGGATCAGTCAGTGTATTTCAATTTAAGTATGATCAGTACCTGTAATAGTCAGGACTCTGTCATGTTAACAGTGATGACGTCAAACTGCTTAAACTCAAAAAAATTCGTCGTTTTTATGTTAGTGACTGTTAGGAAAAAGTTCTAGTGACGAGTTCAAAATTTGATTGAAATTGAGTGATTAGTTTATTTGATATATGGGTTGTTTAGCTTACCGGCCATTATATTGTAAGTTTTTGGACAATACAATCTCATTCACATTAGTTTATTTTTTTTTCAAACTGTTGCTATTATTGTTTATGTCAAACACAGTGTTTGGGCTCCTCAACTCTTACTTCTAACCTGTCAACGAGAACTGTTTCCTTGAGCCTATATCGTGGTGGAATTAGGATGATCGAAGGAAATTTAGTTCACATTTGACACTCAGTATATCTAATACTGAGAAATCGATTTTGCCGTATTTTTAATTAAAATTTGAAGAATAAACGGGGTTAGGACTATCAGTTACTTCTCGACAAACCATAAACTAACCATCGTAAAGTACCAGAGTGGATATGTAACTATTTATCTCCTTATTCACAAAATAATTCGTGGAACTAAGTACTGTTCTTTATTTTGACCACTAGTCTATAAAATAATCTTTTAGATTTAAAAGTTGGGGACAATGGTGGTCGTTTGAATCCCAATCGCTTAGAGGAACCGCTAGTCTGCAATTAGACTTCTAAAGTAGGATGTTTGTGATTAAGTTGTTTTTGGTGGAGTTTTGTTCTCTGAGCTGGATGGTTTGGTCGTGGAGCTTTTATCGTTCTTCTGAACGACATCATCAGCACAAACTTCAGATAGAAGTGAAGTGTTCGAATTTCTCCGTATGTGTTTCAAAGCTTGTTCTGTGCACCTCGATGTTGATTGGTCCTTATTGACCTTAAATTTGTCATTGTTTACTTCTTTGTTTTGGTTGTGTCTCCCATTGTTTTGATTTTTGTTCTTATGTTTGTGCATGATTTTTCTGATTGGTTGATAAATTGGATTGCTTTCAATATGCTTGTTGATTGCTGATTGACCTGAGTGCCAGGCTTCTAGAAATTCTCTGGTGTTTTTGGAGTTTCCTCTGTTTAAGATTTCCACATTTTTCCAATCGAATGAGTGTCCGCAGTTGTCCACGTGTATTGATATAAGTGAGGAAGTATCATGGCGTTTGACTGCTAATTGATGTCCATGTAGGCGAAGGTGAAGGGGGCGTCCGGTTTGTCCAATGTAGTGTTTTTCGCAGTTGGCACAATTTATTTTGTAGATGATGTCTGATTTGTCTTCCTTTTTATTTCATCCTATGGTTTGCATAAGATTGATTGTAGTGATTTTGTCGGTTTATGTGCCACACCTATCCCGAAGGTTTTCAGCAGTCTCGTTGCGGTTTCTGATATTCCTTGTATATATGGTAGGGTGACCCTTCTGTTGATTTTTGTGCTTGACTTGAGTTCTAATTCTGCGTGCAGTTGGTATTTTTTGATGAAGTTGATTGGGTAGCCGTTCTTCTGAAATACATCCTTCAGGTATTTCCCTTCATTTCTTCGTGCTGCCAGTGTGCTGCAGTGTGTCCTCGCACTCTTGAACAAATTGTGTACGCAGTTGATTTTGTGAGCTCTTGGGTTGTTGCTGTTGTAGTTGAGAATTTGATCTGTATGGTTCGGTTTCCTATATACTTGAGTTTCCAGTTTTCCTGTGTCGGTTCGAGTGATGAATATATCCAAGAATGCTAGTTTGTTGTTTGACTCCTGTTCCATGGTGAACTTAATGTCATCGAAGACGTTGTTGATCAGTTTGTAAGTGTTTTCTAGTTCATTCTTTTTGACGATGACGAAGGTGTCGTCTACATAACGAATCCAAACTTTTGGTTTGATCACTGGTAATATAGCGGCTTCTAGTCTTTGCATCTCTGCTTCTGTGATCAATCCTGATATTGGTGATCCCATTGGTGTCCCTTTCGTTTGTTCGTAGATTTTGTTGTTAAGCTGTGTCGATCAGTTACTGAGATTGTATATTTAGTGTTTATTTTATCTATTTATTTGAACATATAAATATTAGTACAAAGGCACACCGAACACGTATGCGCCACACAAGTCAGTTGATTTGTGTGTGGGTTGTGATACTGTTCGGGTGCCCAGACCGAAGCAGGTTGTTTTCTTAGGGGGTCACATCCAGAGCAGTCCCATGGTAGTCAGTGACCAACGATTGGTTCATACGCCATTTGTTCCTTTAAGATCCTGGAGCATATGTGCACCATTGGTATGAAATCAGGGTTTTCCAACCCCCTTAGGTGGACCCTCTGTTTCCACCAACCCGGTTAAGGCGCCGAACATTCTCTTTTCGTCCTCTCAACTTCGTAAACAAGACATTCGCCGCGAGAAGTCAGTCACTAGGAATTCCCTGGTAGTGGCTGTAAACGCGTTGATATGTGAGAGGATGTCGAGAGGGAGAGCTGACTCCCCACTCTCGGCCGTACCCAGGGCATTTGGGGGCTATACTCAGTGTATTTCCTATGATACGTGCACAACATTTATTTTTAGTTAAAGCAAAAATAAACCTATCTACAAACGGAAACATGAATAAAAATCTGTAAAGCCATTGGTTATCAGTCTGCACTTGCATGGGAGAGGTTTTCAATGATCAGTGATACGGAATTATCGGCTTTTAGATAAAATGCTAATCGATAGATGGTAACGAGTGACACTAAGTGTGCCGCGTTATGGCTGCTTACAAGAACTGATTATTGATGTAGGCAACACCACTGACCAGATGAGATTTTTATGTAATAAAATAAAATGCTTATTTACAGATTATAAAAACAGAAAAAAAAACATAATAAAATATCAAAGGTGGTGAAAAGGAATTAGCTCTTAGGTCTCATTCTGCAATCAAATAGGACATCACTGTTAGGCCTGGGCATCGTATCAAAATAATTTATCAGTTCGAATTAACTTGGCTCTCTGTAGATATTCTGGTGCTACGTTATTATTATTATTATTATTATTATTATTATTATTATTATTACTATTAATGGTTTTATGCAATATAGTGGTCGTCTTAATCGTGATGATTTCATCAAGTACACATTTGCTCCCCCCCACCGATTTATTTATTCAGAGAAGCTTTATTCTCATTGTAACGTAATTATACCTAAATTTCTACTCGTTTTGTTATGACTAACTGTTTCAAAAGGTACCTATTCGTTAGGTGTGTTGCTACTCTCATAAGTGATTCATAAAGCTCGGGCTGAAATCAATAATGATAAAATATTTTTCTTACATTACTAGCGAATGAACATATGGTTGACCTTCAGAAAAAGTATACAATTTAATTTAGATAATATTACTGTTTTTTACTGCAAACATTTGAATCAATTAGGCTTTTCCAACCGGTGAAACATTAACTACACAGTCAACTCATACAACTCCCACTGTTTGGGCTCTGTCTGGTCATCAACCTTATCTCCAGTCGTATAATTTTCCAGAATGGGCTATTTCAGCAGACGAACATGCAAAAAATCTGAGAGTTTTTGCTGCCCTAGATATGGATGCTGATGGGTTAGTTTCAGGCCCTGAAGTGAGAGATATTCTGATGCGATCCGGTTTACCTCAAGATATTCTCGCTCATATATGGGAGCTGGTTGATATACAAAATACTGGTTTGTTAAACAGGTAAATGTCTTTCAATTCAATTAACATTTCTACATTATCTGCGATACTTTATTTGTCTTCACTGATAAGTAAATATTATAATTTTCCGGTTGCTATTACAGTTCGTTATGATGCTGTATTTCACTTTACTTCTATGATTAGTTTCTATTGGTATACTCCGCTACATATCTAACTGTCTGAATATTTCTCTGTTAATTATATGACAGTGTCCTTTTTAAATCCAGTATAACTTTTGAAATATACACTTACATACATATATATGCATACACAAGAACTCTTATTTAATGGTCGAAAGCAATCGATTCCCAATTACTAGGTTGTAAATCTGTTCAGGCGACTGGATTGTATCACTAATCCTCATAAAAACAGTGGTTCAAACCCGAAAACATAAACTTGCACCACGTAATGTACATACATGTATCATGCATGTATCTGTCAAATTATGTCTTTAGCTATATATTACTGCATGTATATTATATCTTTATTTTTATCGTATGATCTGTAGCTTTTTAGGCGTAATAACGATGTTTTCACTATCTTACCAGGCTTTAGGATCCATGTTTGGAATATCGAACACTTTATCACACTATTAATTGTAAATTCTTAGTCATTTTGTCCATTTTATTTTAAAGTAGAATTTGAGCTGTATTTTGTCTTGTAAGAATTTTATTTGTATTTACAGTGAACAGTTTACAGTGGCCATGCATTTGGCAACGGAACAGTTATCTGCGGGCTTATCTAATCGTACCCTTCCTAATGTACTTCCACCCGCTTTACTTCCACCAAGTTTGCGCCCTATTCCTCCAGATCCGTCTATTTATGAAGAATCTAACAAACTAATTGTAGAAATAGAAGCATTAGGCCGGTATGTTATTATTATTGCGTTCAATTTTTGTAGCATAGGTTTTTCTTGCTCAATTATCTTTTTGTATTTGTTATTGATAAAGTATTCAGTTTGTTTTTGATTGAGATCATGAACTGATTGATGTTAGACCATCACAATTGAAAACCTGGAAGCACTGGACGGCCGTTTCGTTCTATTGTGGATTGGTTGATGTTAGAAACTATCACCATTGGATGCCGGCTCGGTGGTCCAGTTGGCTAAGCGTCCGCGCGCGAGACCGAAGGTCCTGGGTTCGAGTCCCGCCCGCGGGATCGTGGATGCGCACTGCTGAGGAGTCCCACAATAGGACGAAACGGCCCTCCAGTGCTTCCAGGTTTTCAGTTGTGATGGTCTAACATCAATCGGTTCATGATCTCAATCAAAAACTTAATAATCTTCACAACCCCTATACTAGTATTCAGTTTGTGTTGACCATCAAACTGAGTGCACTTACTAGAATTATCCTGATGTATAATAAAGTAGGCGGCGGTAACATATAGCTCGGACTAGAATACCTTTATACTCCATTTCTTCTTTCTCTCCTAACACGGAATATTGCGACAGACTATCAGTTTATTAACAGAAGTCAGGGTTGACAGATCTGGGTAAATAATATATGCATACAAATATAAAACATATGAATATAAAACGCTTGAAAATAAGGTGAATATTTGCGATTGTACAGCTTTGAAAATGAATTCGCCGAAAAGAGAACTCTTCGCTGAACTAATCTTTCTTTCTTATTTAATGTCATAATGGGTGTATTCCGTTTATCATATGAAGTCCTCGAAAAAACTTTTCGCTTATCACATACACGAAAACTCATTATTTGCCCTGAAGCATTACTGAAATTCGAAAACCTTTTCGATTGTCAGTGAAGTGATGCAATATGTGAACTGTGTTAGACGAAAGTTGTTGTCACCATAATTAAGTTGTCTTATCACGAATTATTGTTAGCTTCGTCACATGATGTATAATATGAAGGTTGGATAATCAAGATGTGTGGAGCTATGCTACTTTTTTGGGGCTTACAGCTCATAGCTTGAGTCTACAGTACTACTACTACTACTACTACTACTACTACTACTAATAATAATAATAATAATAATAATAATAGTGTTGATGCAGCTATTTGATCGACAGATGACTCATCTATGGGGGATTCAATTGACTTCTGTTTTTGTAACTGAACTGAGCCATTTAACATTTATGCCATAGAAATTATTTTAGTTACTTGACATTATGAAGACTTATTGAGAACTGGATCATTGATAAATATATTTTACTTTACGGGGCAATAAATTGACATTTGAAAAAATCATAGACATCACATTCTTTGCTCAAACTTGACTATATTTGTGTAGTCACATTAAAAATCAGGTTTCTTATTTTCTTTTTCTTTTTCTTAAAGGTTATTAAAAGTATGTATGTCTGAGGTTTATGTGCACTAAGAAATCTTGTATTTACACATTTTCATATTGCAGTTGGTTAATAAACACTTTATTGACATTTTGTTTTCATTTTTTTTAATAAAAAAATTCAGTGAAAAATCTGCAGTAGAATCTGATTATGTTTCTATGGCCAAAGATTCTCAACGTCGAGCATCAGAAGCCACTGCAAAACAGCGTACAATTGATACCCTTAATCATACAATTCGTAATCTAGCTAATCAACGTGTGGAAGCCGAACGTCGACTAGGCGATTATAGTCGTGAAAAAGATACGTTAGAAAGTGTGCTTAATGAAATCAAAAGTCATGTCGTGAATGAACGTCAAAAAGTTGAAGAAATGCGTATTAAAATCAATTGTCAACAAGCCTCAACGAAAGTATGTTTTTTAATTTGTGATGTTATAGAACATTTTATATTGTCTTATCACCCCCAAATTTCGTTCATTATTTTTATAAACTTTCAACGAGTTTATAAATTCTGATGAATATCTATACTGTATGGGTGTTCGATTTAAAAGCTCCCATTGTTCTATCTCACTGTCGTGTTCTCGCTTATGGCACAGCACAGTATGTTGTAAATGAGTGATTTATACTATAAACAGATAATATTGGAAACGGTATTTACTTCTCTCATGATTAATCAGTTTGAATTGAAGTTATGTTCTATACTACTTGCGAACGAGATTTCTAAATAACACCATTCAACCCAAAAAGTGCTACTCATCGTCGACCGTCTGATGAGTTGTTTTAATGCCAGTCATTATTAAGTATCTGCAATACGATTAGCTGTTTTTAAAAAAGACATCATGGATTCGTGAGCAGGTGATGACACTAAATGAATCTAAAGAGGTGTGTAATTGATTCCTAATTTGATTTCATCCGTATTTGTTACGGAAATTAATCAAAATAGACTTGTTATCCAGTTGTTCTGAGCTAACTCTGTGAGATTGCTTCTTAAGACATCGGCTCAACGGTGCCCTTGTAGCAAGTCGAGTAGCACTTTTGGATATGACTACTGCGCACGTATTCTATTGCTTTAGTAACGCATGCTTTGAAATTATAATTAGTTCACTGTTATTCTGCTTATCTTTATAGTCAGTAAATATCTTCTGTCGTGGATGTCCGTGGATATAGTTGATTGAAAAGCTTATAAGTGAGTCGGGAGATCTGGAAACATTCGGAAAGTTGTTGTCCATAAATGATATTTCATCAATTCTCTATGGGCATTTAGCATCAATAACGTCGAAAGAAAGCGGAGACAGTTGGTAACTTATGTACACTCGTATAAAATTTTACTAGGGAAAATGATTTGTAGTCATATTGATCAACTTCTGTTACATAAACCAAATGTTTTAAGGTAGCAACACGTATTTAGATGTGATATGCACTATGTAAGAACACATATAATCGGACTTCGGCACAACTGACTTAGTATTTCCACTGGTGATGGTCGAATGCGTCTTGATACTTGAATATTGTGTGTCCTAGTATATTATTTAGTATTATTTTCAATCATCGATTACAATTTTAGAGTCAAAAAGAAGAAATAGCTTGTTTACGTAATGAGTTGAATGAATTGATACGAGAGGAAGCGATGTTACAAGACAAAATAATTGAAAACCAACGCCGTTTAGAACAAATTGAAAAGGAAAACCGTTTAGCCCAGTCTCGCGTAGATCAAGTAAGTCACATTGTTGCATCTAACTTTTTTTGTGTTTTGAGTTAGGTAATGAAAAAAACTGTGTATATTGTCTACTGTGTTTGATTGACACGTTCTATACATTTGTTGCAAACTAACCATCTCTATGCTTTTATCAATTTTATAAGTGTTAGCAAGTAGAAGTTAGTGGTTTGTCCAAGTCACAAGAGCTGGCGTCTTAATACTATTAAACCTGTTAAGCACACATTACTAAACCTCATGATTACCACCATGATGCTGCTACTAGATATCAGTCTTACATTAAACTTGTTTATCAGTATACTTGCTTGATTTTTTCGTTTAAATTTTACTGACTTATTGTTAGCGATAGTTTTTGTTTTCTAATTCTTAGGCTAACGTTAAACTTGAAACATTAGAATCTACTCGTGGTCAATTGTTAGAAGTGCTTGAACAATACAACGGTCTATTAAATGGTGATGAAAATATCAAAGAACCAGATGAGGCAAGGGTTAAGTCTCTGGTTAGTTGACCAATTAATTAATGATTTTGATTATTTTATGTTTTCGTTTAATAAATTCATAATTCTAGCATAAATTAATATTCTACGCTTTTAGTTAATCTAAGTTTGCGTAATTGTTGAAAAGTTCCCATCATATTGAAGCACAGATATATGTGCGAAGAATATTCTTTGTAATAAATTCTGTTCAGGTTTTACAGTTATATATCCAAATTATTAATCCAAAAACTAAGTTTACATGCTACGATTTATTTCACCTTAAAACTCGACACTTTTTAGATTATTAATTTAGATATATAGTTGTAAAACGTGATAAGAATTTATTGAAAAAAATTCTTCGTTCATATATATCTGTGTTTTCGCCTAATTGAACGATTGTTTACCCGTTCTCATTGCTCACATTGTCTTTACTTATCTGTTCACCGTTAACTTACATTTTATAGAATATTTAAACTACTGTTTCAAAATGCTTTATCTTTGTATGGTTCTTTTGATTTTTGAATCCAAAGTATTCAAGGTTATCTTGTTGAGTATACTTTTTAGGCATTAGTATGACTATCATCAGCAATGAGTTGTAATTATGCTGAATTGAATTCGCTCTCTTAAAGTCATTTCGTTATTTAAATTATTTTGGATCTGTGTATTATTAAATCATTTCCAACGTATCGGTTCTTTAAACTAGTAGGATTCAAAACATATATTTATATTTTGCACAAACTCTTTTGGTTTTTACAACAAAAATCCTCTACTTGTACTTAAATTGATTGTGTATCACTTTAAGGTTATCGATTATTAATCTGAATCTCATTGAGTAAATCCAGACTGTTGGATCTAACCAACTCAATGATCGTGATTAATGTATGGAGATCTGTGTTAGTGAGTGACATTGTTCGAAATTGATCAGTACATTTCTGAAATTTGTTTATTCTTTATCTTCCTTTTGAATTTTGGTTTTAAACTTATCTGGTACTTTTATTTGTCATATTTACTCATTTTTGAACTATATTCCTTATGCTTATTCTATCGTACTACTAACAATATTGTTATTACTACGACTACTATGCTATGCACCCTGTTAAGTTCATCTCATCATTATAATATGATAATGACAACCTAGGTTGATATATATTAGTGTCATGTTCTACACTAACTGGCTAACTATATGCAAATTACATTTGGGCTTTCATTCTTTTTAGCTTTCTGATGAGAGTGCAAAAGATAGTTTAAGAAGTTTCGATACAGGTCTTGATGGTATAAATTGGCCAAATAATAATAATGCGCCTTCTTTTACTACTGGTATATCAACTTTCTCAGCATTTGATATGGCACGAAGTCAAACTGGTGCTCACTCTGTACCACTTCCATTAATGTCAATGAATCCTGTATCGGGTGGTGATTGGAAGACGAATGAAAGAGGTCTTCTAAATTCTTCACTTGGATTTCCATTTCCTTACGATCCCTTTGATAGTAATGATCCTTTCAAATCTTCTAAAGCCAATGAGTTTCATAAAGGTGAGTTATATATACCAATCGATCACTAAAAGAGCAACCGATAGTGTTTTCATTGTCTTAAATTCCAGGTACAGATGATAATAATTTATTAAACCGGGTTCTAATGTATGTAGTCATGGCTAATGAATGTAAATAATGAATGAATGGAACACATTGTGGACGATGTGTTTTATTCGGCATCATACTTCGAGGGAGATTTTTATTTCTGCTCCTTTCATAATTTTTCACGTACAGTTACACATAGTCACTGTTTACCTAAATGTACAATTTTGTACGTAACACTGGACAAGTAGCTGTAAATTATTCACTGTCTAATTCAAAAGTTTAAAAAGTGAATCCACTAATTACAATTTGTTCAACACTGATGTTTACTCATCGTTAGAACTAAAACATAGATCTTGACTAAATTTTGGATGCTTGTTATGTCTCCCAGTATATATTTGTTCCAGTCATTGATTTTATTGTTACAATTCAATATCACTTATTTTCAGATTGGTGGTAAAATAAAAGCTAATTGGAAGCCAAGGTTTTATATATATATATATATATATATATATATATATATATATATATATATATATATATATATATATATCATTTATGCATTTGTACTACCTCTATATGTGTGTGTAACTATTGTCTATGAATGTCGGAGTGGCCATGGCTTATGTGATAATTTTTTCTATCCAACCGATTGAGTCAATTAGAAATTCTAATGTAAACAAACTATAATTTATGTTAATTTACTAATGTTTTACAATTATCTCTTATCAGCTAAATTATTAAGATATTTGATAACTCGTTATACATACAGGTGTGAGTATGTATGTGTTCATTTATGCATGTTAGTTGCATTGTTGAACTGGTCGTATTCTCTGCTAAACAACCTGAGAATTTACTTGTTTCTTTAATGAACTATTTAATTCAATATTTTATTTCGTTATAATACTAGCAAGACTGTCTTAGTGATTAAGACGTTCAACTTTCAGTCGCTCAGTTGCAGATTCGAGCACTGCTCGATCCACATGGGTTTAGGAAACCGTCTAGTATCATTAGACCGCAAAGGCAAATGCATCAATCTGTATTTGGTGATTGCTATTACTTTTTTTCTTTGTAGTGAAAAGCTCCTATCGGTTATAAATCTCACAATATCTTGATATCAGTGTTTTGTTTTCATGAGTTATCACTTGGCGAACTACTCTGCCGTATTAGTCTATTACAATCGCACTATTTTTGAACACAGTTTCTTACTGACTCACTTCCATTAGATGTAGGAATTTTAATCAATCTTAATTAGAAAATGAAATTCTGTTGGACGTGATCTACTCGTCGACAGTAATCTGTAGATAGGTAACAAAAATGATAATCATGAAAATGTATGACATCCGATCAAGATTTCGTTTATTTTGTGTTGATAATAACTCTGAGGTTTTGCTTACCTAAAGCGATCCAGCGGTTTGAATTTTATCTCGAGAAAAATTATTATCATTTATTGCTTATTGAATAATAAACCTTTTCAAATTATTTATTAACATTGACATCAGTTGTGAACTGAAAAAGTCATCTATTAACTTATGCTTGTCTTCACTTGTCATCAACTTCCCACAACGAATGTAAGGGGTTGGAAAAAATTGGCCATAAATATACCACATCTCACTTTATCCCACAAATTTCCATCTAAGGCGGTGAAGCTTTAGAAGTACAGAGATCATTCGTCTAAAACTACTCATTTGCCCTCATACTTCTAATATCACTCGAGATTACGATCGAATGTTACTAGATATTAATATTAACTTTTATAACTGTTTCAACATTTATTTCGAATGCATTTTGCTTTTGCAAACCAAATTGTCTACCACTTATAGAAAATTTCTGATTCGTTTGGGAAAATTATTGCTACTGTTAGTGTTGTTTCAAAAGAAGAAGAAAGAAGCATAATTATTAATGCACGCAGTTGTAGAAAACGCAACATTATCAAAATCCTCCTTTTAAGTCACAAATTCCCCACATTATCTTAGTAATAAGCAATTTTATGAAAAATTAAAAGAAAAGAAAATCTTAAGAAATAGAAATTTAACTTTGCATTGAGTGTATCGTTAATTCTGTGATATTCTGTGTTTTGTTGCTGTTTACTTTATAAACAGTAGTTAAGTGGATAACTTGATTGCGTTTGAAGCGAACGGTACTGCGTTCGAGCCCCGAAGTGAATACCAACTCAGGGATGCAGATACATCCACCTGACGAGTCCCAAATAGGACAAAACGCGCATCTTAACCTCCACTGCTAGCTACTATCCATCTTTGCTTGTAATGCTTGTGACTGAAGGCAATATCACGACAATCCGCACAGTATGCTTATATGCCAATCAAAGACTGATCAATTGCAGTCCTAAACATCAATGGGAAGGTTTAAACAATCAATACAACAATGAATTTATATAAATTTGTTGAAATGTCTAGCAAAATTTATTCCTTTTGGGAACATTATTTTTCTTATTTTTATTTCATCTATTTTATATGATAATAGAATCTGTTGAGGATCCATTTGCTTTGTCAAGTACAAATGATCCATTCAAGGATTCCGATCCATTCGGTATAGATCCATTTGGTTTATCATATTTAGTAAGTGAATTTTCAAATATTATTTCGGTCATTATTAGTAGTTAGTGTAATTTTATCAACATTTTTTTCTTTGTAACAGTGCTTTTACTTTTCCCATACAAACTGATAATCATGTAATTATCCGTTTACATATTGAAGATGATAACAAATACATAGGTTTATATTTGTACACATTTATTTTATAAATTATCATCCCTGTACAGTATATATTGTATATGTTTAACTTAACATTATCAATTTTCTTTACGTAAAGAAATAGTTTAACGAATGGATATCTTTCGGGATAAAATCTTATGGAAATCAAACAAGACGGAACAATCGTTTTTTTTCTTTTCCATAACGTCAAAATTCTGAATAATGAGAACATCTTTGATTATTTCTATCATTTTTAATTCCCGTGTTGTACGTGTTAACTTTAGGTTGTCAGTTCAGTGTTCGACTTCAGTTATATTATCTCAGAAGTTTTAATTTTTATTCAAGTGTAAAATGTATCTTTGAATGTTGTACTTGTAAGTTTTTTACTTTTATTGAATGTATGATGATTGCAGGCTTGCCGGTATATTTCCTGCTAGTTTTAAGTACTGCACAAAATCTATTATGTGTTTCATTATATGTTAAATTGGTCAGTTAACACCGTATTAGTTTGCATTGAATTAGTCTTAAAATAATTTAAGATAGGTTGGTAAAAACTGAATATACGGGCGTCTAGTTTGTGTGCTCTTTCCACTAAAGATATCAGTAACCTTAAACAAACTTATATCATCTCATATACTTAAGCTTTTGTTCTGCTCTATCGCAGTTAACGATGTTGTCACTTGTTTATTCGGGCTGGCACTATCGGCTATATGGATAGATCAGATTTTCATGGATTCATCACTGTCTACTCATTACTAATAGTCGGGATTCTGTCGGTCAACTTCACGACGTAGCTATATCTTTGGATCCTTTTCTCAAAGAAAGTCAGGTAGTACACACACAATAATACAGTAATGCAATTTGTAATGGTTTTTGGATGATACCTTTGTTGATATTTTTGACTGGATTTTGATCACTCTAAGTTAACATATGTGCATCCTATGCAAATTGCCTCTATATAGTCATTGTCACGAGTTTTTCTATAATAGATGGGATGTGGCTAATAGTGGAATCGAAAATGGTCCTTACGTCATATTTCGTACATTTTAGCTGGGTGTCCCTGGATCCAAGAGTTATTCTCTACTTCCGGACTCGGACTTAGCTCTTTTAGCTTCAAACACCTAACACGTTATCTATTTATCTGCTGAGTCTAGATAGCTACTCAGCTATGCAACTAAAATCTAATGATTTTTTTTGAAAATCATATACGATAATTTTATGCAAATCTTACTTGTTTTGTTTAATAACTTTGACTCTTTTTAAAAAAAGTAAACTAAGTTGGTTATATGAACCGAAATATTGAAAATCATCATTTCAGATCTCGGTCAGTACTTCGTTTGGCAATTTTTTCGACGTCTTTTACATATACAAAATGTTATGTTTCGGGATACAAATATCGAAGTTGTTCTCAATGTAATTACTTAGAAAACATTGTTTCTGTGAGACATTTGTAAAGAGAGACGCGACATTCAATGATATCACTTTTTTGCAAATTACATTGACATCCTTAAACGAATAGACAAAATCGAATGAATCCAGTGTGCTGTATTCATAAATTTAAATTACTTGATCTGAGAAATTATGATTAAGTGCTGAATTTTCCAAATAAGAATGGTTTTACGACTATATTATCAAATTATCTTTCATAATATCAGATGATGTTGAACTTACTTAAAAATCCTCTCTGAAGGATGTAACCGAGAAGGGTGCATAGATGTTGGCGAAAATCTTGAGGAAGATGAAAGATAAGTTTATTATCAAAAGTGATCTTTAAGGACGTCCTTAACCATCGGGTTCCGTTATCCCAAGACCATACAGGCTCCTAAAAGTACACAATAAGAATGTCTTTCTGCTTCTCATACTCGGTGTTATCAATTTTTCTCACTATTTGAATGTTAATTGGCTAACTGAAGATATACAGCCAGTCAGAAGTCACGTCAATAGATACAAGATACTGGTTTCATTCATCTTTGTCCAGTGATTAATAAAAGTCAAAAAGTGATATTATTGAATATCGCTTCCCTCTTTACAAATGTTCCACTCGCAATAACAATGTGTTTTCATGTGACTATTAAAAAATAACAACTTCCATATATTTATCTTGAAACATTATCTGGAATAACTACTTCAATGCATTTACAATTACTGTTCAGAATTTAAAAAATCTAGATATATGAATGATGAATATTAGTGGTAAGGTGATGGTTGGAGGTAGTCGACACGAAACCCTGGACCTAGGTTTTGTGCTACTCTGCACTCGTCAGCAAGGTGTACCTGTAATCTTGTATTTATTTATTTATTTGAACACATGAATATTGGTACAAGAGAGCGCCAATATATATGCGCCACACAAAACAATGAGAATTCGAAGAGAAATAGAAAGAAAAAAAACTAAGGAGCGCAAAAGAAAAAGAGAACAATAACGAAGAGATTGGTGTAAGGTAGTGTGGTAGTAACGAGGGAACGAAAGGTACAATCAGAAGAAATCTTTCAGGTAAGGAGACACAACCACTTTTTATGAAGAAAGTAAAAGAAGGTTACAGCAGGATCGCCACTGGCTTCTATTCTGAGCCATATCTGATAACGTCTCTAGCCACTGTGTAGCACCATCTCTCAGACCCCAACCAGGGAGTCGTGAAGGACCAACACAAGCCAGTCCTTTGCAGCTTTCTTTCATGCCACGACACCATGTCATGCACTGACCACCTCTCCGCTTCTTCCAACCAGTCCCAGAGTCGGCAAATAATGCACGACGTGGAATTCTCTGGGACGACATTCGGAGAACATGTCCAAGCCACCGAAGTCGGTGTTTCAAGATGGTGACACCAATTGAATTATCATCTCTGTGCCCGAACACACGATGCCGAACCTCTGCATTACTGACATGGTGTTGCCACTGAATGTCAGCAATCCTTCGGAGACAGCGATGATCGAACACAGAGAGTCGTCTAACGTCCTCAACTCGGAGAGGCCAGGTTTCACAAGCATAGAGCAAAACTGCTCTCACCGACGCGTTGTAGATCCGACCTTTTACAGCCAGACTAACATCACGAAGGCGCCAAAGGTGGCCCAGATTGGCATAAGCCGCTCTGGCTTTCACTATTCGTGCATTGATCTCATCACTCACACCCCCACCAGCACTTATGCAGCTACCCAGATACACGAACTTCTCAACTACGTCTATCTGCTCACCGTCCAGGGTGAGTACAGGATTAGAATCCTGCCAGTCTTGTAGAAGTACTTTGCACTTCGAAGGTGCAAAGCACATACCATACCTACGGACACTGATTGCCAACTGATTAAGTGCGGATTGCATGCCTTGGGCATTATCGCACAGTAAGACAATATCGTCCGCATACTCAAGGTCGAGAAGTCTTTCTCCAGGCAACAGATCCACACCACCATTACTTACATTCATCAGAGCTGTTTCCAGAATGTCATCGATGGCAAAGTTGAAGAGGAATGGTGAGATTGGGCAACCCTGCCTAACCCCACTGCTCGAATGGAACAATGGAGAGAGGTGGTTGTATGCCCTCACTCTGCCTGAGGTGTTTTTATATAGGGCTTTTAGGATGTTAATAAACTTCTCAGGCACACCCTTCTTCAATAGACAATCCCAGAGAACAGTCCTGTCCAACGAATCGAAGGCAGCCCTGATGTCAAGAAACACTACGATTGTTGGCCTTTGATAAGTATGGCGGTGTTCTAACATTTGGCGGAGGGTGAAGATATGATCAATACATCCTCGACCAGAACGAAACCCAGCCTGCTCCTCGCGAGTCAATCTTTCTCGGGTTTTGAACAACCTACGAAGAATGACGGAAGCCAATAGCTTGGACGCAATCGGAAGTAACTTATCCCCCGATAGTTGTTACAGGAACGACGTGAACCCTTTTTAAAGATAGGGACAACTATCGACTCATTCCATGACGTTGGTACACTCTCTAGTTCCCAAACCTTTGTAAACAACGTCGTCAATTCCTTAGTCAAAAAGTCACCACCATCTTTAAAAAGAGCCGGAGGTAAGTCATCTGGGCCAGGTGATTTGTAACGCTTCAAGAGTTGGAGTTCCTTGCGGACTTCCTCCTCGTTTGGTGGATCAGTCGTCACCGGCCATGGAGGGCAGGACAGTCTGACCGATGTTGCCGGAGCAGCAGGCCAGTTGAACTGCCCTTCGAAAAATTCTGCCCATCGTCCAAGACGTCGATGGATGTTAGTGATTGGCATCCCATCATCCTCGCAGATTGTTTCACTCACACCAGACTTCTTGCTGCCAGTGGCTCGGATGAGCTGGAAGAGCTTCCGGTAGTTACCAGATGCAGCTGCTGCTTCCAGCTCATTAGCACGCATCGACCACCAGGCTTCTCGGTCCTTACGCAAGCTTTGCCCAATTTCCTTACGTAACATCCTTCGTTTATGGTCAAACTCACGGTCACCCGGAGTAGACCGACGGGCTTCAATGAGTTGTAAGGAACCAGAAGAAACCCAGTGCTTAAAAGCGGGACGTTTCGCAAACCCACAACTGACTGTTCCCGCCATTTTCATGGCGTCATGCAATTGCAACCAATGCTCATCTATACTTTTCGGTGGAGTGGTAGCTAGCCTAGAGGCTAGCTCGGTTCGATACTTACTTGCAACAGAAGTTGCAACCAGCTTGCTAACATCAATCCGTTGATGGTGGTCACTTCGTTGTCCACTGAAAAGTAAGGCAAGATTGGCGCAGACCAAGGCATGGTCAGAGTCCAGATAGGTACTCCAAAAGGAGCGGCAGTCTTTTACACAACCACGCCAGCGGTAGCTGATCGCGATGTGATCAATCTGAGTCCAGGCTTGAGATGCAGAGGGAGGACGCCAGGTGGCACATC